AGAGAGAGAGAGAGAGAGAGAGAGAGAGAGAGAGAGAGAGAGAGAGAGCGCGCGAGAGAGAGAGAGAGAGAGAGAGAGAGAGGCGATGAGCGTAATTCTCTTCTCGTGTAGGCTACAAAGATATCCACTCCCAGAAATATCGAGACAATCAAACTACCACAGAGAGCCTTCATTAAATTTAATTGCATTTCTGTTAACGTTAATCTAATTCATAATTATTTGTCATAATATTATAATATCATGTGCATGACACAAAAATATCATTTAAACACTTACACAAACACATAAACACATAAACGCTTACGTCTTTCTGCCTTTGTTTTGGAATACGCCTTTCTATTGTGACGCAAGCTCACGCCAATACCGCGTTACAATGCCGATGTGATGATTTATTGTTTGTATCCTAGCAACCTTAGAAGTGCATTTAAATGTGTTTCGCACTTTTAACCCGTCCAAATCATGAGTTATAATTAGTCACAAATTTAAATTCAATGAGACTACGGTCTGGAAACTGCGCTTGACAAGCAGAGCACTGATTTTATGTGTCATGCTGTCTCGTGTTTATTATTTGATTTCGTATGATATCTGCCTTTGGTTACTGATGCCGTCGCTGTTTAATGAATTTAGAAGGTAAGTTTTAGTTCGACGTAAAATTATAAACTTATTAATTGCATCGAAGATCATATTCTTTAGTTTTATTTCCTAGTCTGCAACTCGCAACTGTTCTTAAATCGATTCGGATAACAGCATTTGATAGTAATAACTCTTAATCGCTTTTATACTTTATAAGTATATTGCCCGAGTCTAGAAACTGACATGATGTTTGTAAGAGAATAACAACATTAATTTTTATAAAAAAATTGTTAACATTGCTATCTGGCTAAGCAAATTGTGCCATTTTCTTAGCCAACTTATGACCTATTGACTGTTTTATATAGAGCTCTCGGATATAGTCGGATTATGAACATTCCATACTTGCCCTGGCTACAAGTCGATCCCGGCGTCTGCAGCTGCACTCTGCTACTTTTCGCTGTTGTCTTAAAATGTGGCGAATTAATAACGGTTAACACAAGTTACATGAGTAAGTCTTGTCAAACTGAACCATGTAACCAGACAAACAGCGACAGCAGCACGCAAACCAGCCGCGCGTATGCAAATTCTTCGACGCAGACGGAGATGGGGTCAAATAGCGTCGCCAGGTGTAGTCAGACAGAGCCGACGGCCGTAGAGCAACGTCATATGCAAACGGATATTCACGGCTTACTCGTTAAACACGAGTTGACGCAAACGCAAGGGCCAGTGACATACAGCGTAAATACGCAGACGCTTAAAGTTTCAACGCATAGCATGAAATCGCAAACCGTCGTCGCAATTAGGAACTCGTCTGCACAGACGCACCGCCATGGCATGCGGCACACGGAGTCCCAAACCGTATGTGTCTACACACAAGACAACGAGACTCAGACAACCGACACGAGATGCCAAGGAGAGCCCATCGACGGGAAAGACTTGCTCGTTGATAAACCGACGCCAGACTTGACACTGACTAACGAAATATATCCGGCGATAGAGTATCCGACGTTCGAAGCCAAAAAGCGGAAGTGTAGAACGAAGAAAAGGAAACCCGACCAGGAAGACGTACACGAGATAGCACAAGACAACGTGGCCGCCATTCTCAGAGAAGACCTCATGAAAATGCGCAATACCAGCACTGTGGCATCTAGGGTCGCACCTCAAGTTGGGATTGCATCTTCTTCCGTGCCGCAAAAGTCCGGGTCATCTCTTCCTCCGCCACAAGATGGCGACGCAACATCTGTATCCGCCCCACTATGCGAACATTCGGCAGACACCGTAGCTGATTGTGGGCGTATAATATCACAGCAGCCATCTGTTCACGAAGCTACTGAATCCGTAACGTCAGTGAACGTCGGAACCAATCAAATCACTGCATCGCTATGCGAATCGAATAAAGAAAGCAAAACAGCCGAACTACCCACACAGAAATCTCCGTCACGTGAACTTCTAGAACAGTTTCCAGAGGACAAGTTTGAGGTATGCAATTTCTGTTCCCAAGTCTCATTGGCGTTACCATGGTGATGTGGTCTTGCAGCCATAGTCATAGGTGGTCATATATATAATGTGTAGAAGTAAAATAACACAGGCACACCCATATGTAGATAAAAACAAAGTCAAATTATATAATGTTTAAAATTCATTTAAAAAGCTTTCGATATTACATCTCTTCATCAGGTAATTCAGCAGACAAATAATTCAGCTGACAGGTAATTCAGTGTCTGCTGAATTACCTGATAAAGAGATGTAATATCAAAATATTGTTTTAAAATTTAATTTTAAACACCCTTAATCTATAATTTGACTTTGTTTATATATATATATATATATATATATATAACAGTGATTTAATGGGCTCAACAACAGAACTATACATAGGTGGGCAGGAGGAACACAATTTTTAGCGCGTCGTGACAGCGTTAATGTTCTTACACATATCTGATCAAAAACGCCGTAATTCCTTCTAGCAACGCTCATAAATGCATTCTATTTTGCCTGATGTGATCTAATAGATTCTCTCGATTTCTCCTCTACCAATTCTCTCTCATTTTTTCTTCAATTGGTAAGGACGACGACGGTGGGAATGGAAATTTGGCAGACGACCCTTTGTGCACGTGGATGTTTAACAAGATGGGCCACTGGATGACTCTATGGGTGTACGACCGCGTACACAAGAACAAGCTCGCTGAACGCAATGCCCGCCTCATCCAGGCCGTGAGAGCCGCAAGGACGATGAAGCGGCGAGCGAAGAGGGCGCAGCTGTGCAGGCGACAAATCACATCCCAGCGTCACGTGATCGTTAAGGTGACGCCATGTTGCTGCGCGACCACGGCCTATGTAATCGTCGCAGTGCATCGCAGCAATTTAATGATATATTTTATTCAGACGTTCTGCTATTATGTTACACGCCCCGTATTTGTTGTCGAACAGTAATGCATACGTCCTGGCATCCACGAGAACGTTTTTGTTGACTTCCAGTTGGCAAAGCACATGGCTGTCTTGCGAGATCATCTAAACGACACGCAGCATGACGGCTCGGGAACAACGGAGCAGAGCAACGGAGGATCGAAAATCGGTGCTGACCACAGCACTGGGTCAGAGAAGCAAGTCGACCACAGCACGGAATCAGAGAAGCAAGTTGACCACAGCACTGGGTCAGAGAAGCAAGTTGACCACATCACGGGATCAGAGAAGCAAGTTGACCACAGCACGGGATCAGAAAAGCAAGCTGACCATAGCACGGAATCAGAGAAGCAAGCTGACCATAGCACGGAATCAGAGAAGCAAGCTGATCACAGCACGGAATCAGAGAAGCAAATTGACCACAGCACGGGACCAGCATCGGAAGCAACCGACAGCATAGCAACCGACTGTCTGGTCACCCCTGCGCGGTCGTTCTTTTCACGGGACAGCATGCGAGAGACGCTTGTAAGGAGATCAAGCGCGCATCTCGAGAAGCAGAGTAAATTCGACGTCGTCGCAGTAGACGACAGCGCAACCATCGCCGACTCGACGTCGACCGCTTCGAATTCGGCCAAAATTGCGACGACGCCGCTGCAGACGTGCGGCAACCAGACGTTGGGAAATACTGCCCAACAGCAGATGGAATTCAAAAAGTGCTCCGCGCACGAAGGCGGTGGTAAGATAGTGAGGCGCCTGGCCGGGCCGCCATTACACGGAACCCCTGCGAACGTACCAAGACAGGCGATATCTGGTGATGCAGGCGACTCGGGCAAGTCCGCCGTCGCTAGGGCTACGCACCGCAACACCGTAATGAACTATTTACTTACCGCCGCAAATGCCACTAAAAGGAACTTGCACTCGCCAGCCGTTATTCCGAGTTTCGGGGGCACAACACCTTCCAACACGGGCGGGCCGACAGGCGTCAACTATGAGGGGATGTACCATGAAGCGACGCGATACGGGTCGGAAAAGCCGGCGACGCGGCGGGATGGCGACGGCAGTCGTCCTCGGCCGGGAACACCGACACCGGTTAAAGCGAGTGCCGTGATCGTACGCCGTCCAGAAGCCGTAGTGCCGCCACCACCTGCGTCGAAGAAAGCGAAGATTTCCCGAGAGGTGCCGCCGGCGCACGACTGCAGCAGCCGTTCATGTGTCGAGAAGAGCGACGTCGGCAATAGTGGGTTTTCTTGTTTCTGCGAAGCGCGTCGTTACTCTACCATGCGGCACGCTAATGCCAGTGCGAAATTGCTATCTTCAGTCCGCGGTAGAGGGCGGGGCAAAACACCCGTCCGCCGCTAATAATTAGACGCGCTCCCTCACCGGAAATTATGGTCACTTCCTTTGAGTTTATTTGCTGACACTAATTTTATTACCTTACCTATAATTATCCGTCGGAGATCTGTTTTGCAAATAAAGAAACCACATGTGTGCACTATAAGTTAATCTGGAGTCTGTATTCCAATTCGTTTTCACTTCATTATTTCGTATGACAACGCTTTATGCCGACTTAGTTTGTATAAAAGGAACTATTACTCGTGCCCTTGCATTGTAATACAATTTCTATGATCTTCTATTACAATAAATGGAATCAAAAAGAATTTGCACTCAAATCTGTACACGAATTGTCAACACCACACAACACACAGTGCACACCCACACACACACACACACAGGCCACACAGCACACACACACACACACACACCACAATCAGCACATACATGCAAACACCAACCCTCAACACACGGCATCACACCGTACATCACACGAAGACACGTGCATGCATGCCAAGCCACGCACAACACGTACACGCACACACACCGGCACACCCAGCTGCACACACACACACACACCCGCACAACACACACCACACACACACAACACACACACACAGCCACACACACACACAGCCACGCAGCACGCACGCGCGCGCACACACACACCCACACACAGGTGCACACAACACACACACACAACCACACACGCACAACACACAGCGACCACACACTGCACACACCGCGCGCACGTACTAACACACACACACACACACACACACCCACACACACACACACACACACCCAATACACACACACACACATTCACACACACACATCCTAAACACACACACACACACACGACACACACACGTACACATCAGCACACACAACAACCCACCACACACACACATCTCTCTCTCTATATATATATTTCCTTGTCTCTCTCTCTGCATGCACGCGTGTGTGTGTGCTGTGCGTGCGCGCATGTGCGCATATCTCGCGCTCTCTCACTCGCTGACACTTTGTTCTCTTCCTTTTTCTGGTTCTCTCTAATCAGTAGGCCATGTTCAACAGGTGTTATTTAAGCTAATAAGATTGATGTCCATTGCGGTGCTTAAATTACTTAAATTATCTCACTATACAATAAACTACTGACAATGACGAGTCTATTGGTATACGTAGAATCGGACAACGTCGTTCCTCACGACATGCTCAATTTTCTCCGCAAAACGTTGCTGCTTGTTATTGACACAGATTCTTTGGCTATGTAGTCCGTCGCAGCTTCTTTGCGCTCACGCATTTGTATACACACGTCCGCTGCAGAATATTGGGAAGCGAGTTTCGTCCATACATGAAGAACCGGGTCAGGTTAATTGGCTCGATTGAATCGCGAGCTTATTTTTTTCGCGAGACAATCGCCATCTTTTTTTGCTGGCGATTTGGAGAGGGACCGAGTGATAGGTTAGGGTCTACACGTGAGCGGCAGCGTGTGAGAGGACTTAGCGCGCGTGCTACACGGCTAAAAATAAATCGTTGTGCTTGTGTGATAGTCGACTCTTTGTTAAGAAAAAATACCGTGTCCGTTATGATTAGCATCTTTATAACGTTTTACTCGCGTAGTTTGTCGCGCGAACCCGCAAAACGGCGAGCGATCGGTGAAAGTATTCAACTCTTTAGAAGTTAGATAGAAACGAAAATTCACTTCTGTTATTTCTATGGTTAGATGTGGCGTTTATCGAATTCATGTTCATTACACCATGCACATATACATATTACGCATACGCACGCATCAAATACACACACACATATATATATATCACTAATTCGTATCACATATGTTGCCAAATCACCAAAGTGACAGCTGGACAAATATAGAGAGATTTTCGATAATGTATATTACATCTATAATATAATACGCTATGTATTATACCCAAACTATAGCCTCAATTATTATAATTCGGTTATTTAGATACCGTCATCTACTCAACCCTTAGAAAAAAAATTATTACATTTTACATCCTGTTAGCCTTGATTACATTTTATACTGTAACTACATGTATTTTATCTGGCTAATAATATCACCACTGTCTGTCGCCACACTGGCCACGACGCATGCAACAAATTAAAGCAGCCTATTTTCATCTACTGCCGACCTCGGACTCTGGGTCGATAGCAGACACGAGAGCGAAACGACGGCGATCACAGGAACAGAACGTTAAGTGGCGGTAAGAACAGGTACACTACAGACGCCGCTGCAAGGCGGCTAAAGCACACGCCAGAAAATGATAATTGGCACGCGTGTTACGCTTACGTGACGTTAACACGAGGAGAGAGACAGCCGGTAGCTCTCATGTGACGTTAGGCGGGATTGAAGTCTCCCCGTCTATCCTCGCGCGCCTACGCGAAGCTATATAATAAAACAAAAACATTTTCTCTCAACAAAATACATGTCAAAACACGAGATAGCAGTAGTTTTGCGAGTTCTGTTAATACTAAACCATCTCAAGCAAACTTCAGCGCATTTAAGCTAATACGTTTGACATCGATATCCTTATTTAGGACCTTTTGAAATGAACATCCGAGTCCGTATAAACACGCGCGATCTAACAGATTTTTTGGACTACGTACCGATAACGCGCCATTGGCATTGAAATAGGAGTAACACGGCGTCAAGATTGGCGCACCTGTCCGGATATAGTATACGTGGCGGGGGGTTGTGATGGACAGCTGCTGCGAGTGGTGTTTAGTAGCGGTAGGTGCCGTCATGTTGGTACACGGGACGTGGGGCGGCCGCGTAGCGATCGTATGCTCGGCTCGGCTGGTACTCTTGCTCGTGTCCCGGCGCACGCGCAGACGCGGGGCCGTAGGGCGCGGCAGGGATTGGCGAATACGCCCGCACGTGGAACTTCGGATGGATCACGTGACGAATGATGTCATCGCCGTATGTAGGAGCGTCGTGCGCATCGTAGTGCCTAGGCTCGTCGGTGTAGTCGCCGTGCGTCGGGGATGCTGCGCTGCGGTATGGGTTCACCTCGTATGGCTTCAGCTCAAGCACCTCAGCAGCCCTATATGGCTTCGCTTCCTTCTCCTCGTCAGTCTCGGCCTTCACTTCTTCCTCCCTCTTCGGCTCATTGTTTTCTTCTTTTGGGTGTTCTGCTTCTGCTTTCGTGATCTCTGCGGCTGGAACGGCGGCATATGGGGCGTGTGCGTAGGGAGAGGCAGCGTAGGGGCCTAGAGGATAGAAGCTGTATGGTAATGCTGGAGTGTAAGGGACGGATGCATACGGACGTGCAAGAACAACGTGCGCATGAGCTGGGGCTGGTTTATACCAATATCTAGGTTCATAGGAATGCACAGGAACCTTATGTACATAAGCTGGGGCTGATTCATAGGAATGTTTAGCAACCTTATGCACAGGAGCTGGGGCTGGTTCATAGGAATATTTAGGTTCATAGGAATGTACGGGCACCTCATGTACAGGAGCTGGGGCTGGTTCATAGGAATGTTTAGGTTCATAGGAATGCACAGGAACCGTATGCACAGGAGCTGGGGCTGGTTTATAGAAATATTTAGATTCATAGGAATGCACGGGCACCTCATGTACAGGAGCTGGGGCTGGTTCATAGGAATGTTTAGGTTCATAGGAATGCACGGGCACCTCATGTACAGGAGCTGGGGCTGGTTCATAAGAATGTTTAGGTTCATAGGAATGCACGGGCACCTCATGTACAGGAGCTGGGGCTGGTTCATAGGAATGCACTGGCTTGTAGGAGTGCACGGGTTTGTAGGAATGTACAGGAATATCGTGTACAACTGGGGTGTGTCCATACGCGTGCCTGTACCCTGAATGCGCCGGTGGGTGTTCCTCGCTGATGTGTGGATATACGGGTGCTGCAAACGAGTGAAATTCGATTCGCATCATATTGAATAACGGGAACATTGGGCTACGATTAAAACATAACGCGTGGCTTGCGTATATTGATGAGGCATTCTTTAGTCCTATCGAAGTTGGTGCTGCTTCTATTTGCCGTATTAGCCTATCTGTCGGAACGAGATAACCACGTCCTCATTGGATCATCGTATATTATTTGGTTATAATAACATTATCACTTAGAATTTTAAACGTGCTTTACACGCTTGCACGCCATATTGTCGATTTTAAGACACTTTGTTATTACTAAGCAGGGTTTTTAGAACGCCACTTACGCAACAATGTTTGGATAGGGCTACCTATCAATCGCTCTAGGCGGATATATGCAACTTAATTGTTGCGCGCAAGCTGATCAAAATCACGACGACTTCGTCAACGTGGCGCTGCGCAGGGGACGCGCTCACTTACTATGGTCGTCGGGGTGGTGGATATAGTGCTCCGGTACCGTGTGCTTCCCAAACTCGCATCGTTTGCCGACGTAACCGTACGCGCATGCGCAGTTGTAGCCCGTGTTATGCGCATTCTCGCCCGGCAGGCAGGTGGCGCCGTTGAAGCATGGATCGGGCTTGCACGGGTTCACCTCAAACTCACACCTGATAGCGCAGGAGAGAAGGCCTGAACTCGTAAAACGAGGTAGTCAATCTACTCACCACTTGACCACTGGTCTGCGGCGACGGCACATTAACATAGCACGCGGAAATGGGGCAAACAACCGTAAATAAAGGAAGAGAGCTAGTGTGAGAAAGTGCAAAGGAGAAAGAGAATGAGAGAAGAGAAATAAATATATAACATATTGAAGTACATTGTACTTAGAGCTATGTACGAAGCTCATAATCAAATGAGCCGCCACAGATTTAATTAACAATCCATTTAAATCTCCTACGAACACATCGGGGGTAATGTAAGATTCTTGCATGCAGTAAATGCACATAGACTCAAACTCCAGACATACCGTTCACCAGAAAATCCATATGGGCATTCGCACGTTTGCGTATAATCATCCGTGTGGCAGATGCCGCCATTAACGCATGGGTCTGGATTACACAGGTCCTGCTTGGCTTCACATTTCCAACCCTAAAATAGCAGCATAAGCGAATAGCAACGGATTGTACATAGCAACCGTATGCATGTTATCAAGAGCGTATTAAGAAGGCTTCTTAATACGCTCTTGATGTTATGCCAATACTGTTACCGTCAATAGCAAGATTGTGTGTGAGTAGGCAAGAACTTTAATAGACTTTGATAGCCCACTGTTTTAGTAGGTGAGAACAATAGCATACAGTCATGGCGACCTTCTTTATATTAGTGACTTACCACGTAGGGGTGTGGGCACGCACAGTGGTAGCTGTGACCTTCAGGACGACAAACTCCCCCATTGTAACACGGGCTTGGATAGCATGGATCCGCTGCAAACATGTCACATATAATTAATTAATTAATTAATTAATTAATTAATTTAGTTTGTAAAAGATTCATAGGATACGTGAAAATGGGCATGAATTTTTGATCGCAAATTTCCTTTCCTTCTAGTAAATCGTAAACCTTTACCTCGTCCCACCCGTTCTTCTCTCGTGCATGCGCCCCCTCGCTATCCCTCTCCCTCGTTAATCAGATCGAATTACCATGTTCATATATGCAGTGTACGCGTGTGCCTAACTGCATCTATACCATAAGGCAAGGGCGCGTGACCATTTAGTTGAGCTATTTGGATTGAAAGCGGGTCAAAAGAGAATGAAGTACAGAGCAATTTCCTTTTCTACAATAGAATCTGAATCGAGAGTAAAATGAGATAGGCTAGCCATTGCAAATAACCCATATTTACACTAGCTTAACCCGATATTTTGCACCTGGCTTTGTGGTGCAAATAGCTCTAGAGATAATTGTCCAAATAGTTGTTAAAACAAGCGGTCAACTGAACGGCTATTGCTATAGTGTCATGTAAAAACAGACGTGAGACCGTGATTCGCGTTGTTGACCGTGTCCACATGGGCGTACAAAGATGGCACTAATGCTAAACATGGTGATAATTATTTTCTTCCGATTGACCCATTATCTCATCTATAGTCACTATATACCCATATCTTATTATCTTATTGCAAATGGAATGCGTGCGTGTTTTTTCCCACTCATTTCTCGTCTTACGTAACATGGCGATCTAACGCTCATAAATTATCAAGCAATTAGTTCTTCTAATTGATTCACTCTTAATTCGCAAATAAGCGCAATTACGTATGCTTAGATAGTGTGTGAGGTTTATGTGCGCTGCATTTTTGACCCACTACGTGTTCGTGAATAATTGCAGTGTCGTTAGTAAGTTAGCGTGTCGTGTTTACTCTCGCGTTTCTTCACGATACTAATACAGGGCATTAATAACGCGAGAGCAAAACCGAACAAATGTTGCGTTATTTTCACATACAGTTATACCGTAACCCAGCATTGTGCGTGCAAGGATGATTTAAAGAGAGAGTTCATCAATTAACCAGCAACAGCTATTAATAAGGGTTTATGGTTTCATAGTATTCAATATCGGTTATTAATTGGGTCCGTTATAAGTGTTTATAAACCGCTTTGTCGTATATAATAGCGTCATATATGTGCTATATCTCTACTCATGCAATGCAACGTTCAGTGTTATTTATACTCGGTTACGCTTGCTTGTTTACGCACGGGATTTACTTGTAGTTGCCTGCACAACGTCAACGCTATTCTACAAGGCCCACTTTATAGCAAACAGTCGGACATTCCTACTTTCGTAAATCCGCCACGGCAAATAACATTTTCGGAACAGAACGTAGTTTCTGTTTCTAATAATCCCAAATTACCAAGTTTGCCACTGTCACTTTTTGCTACCATGTAGATTTATCATGTTCACTCTGTGTTTACGCCTAGTTTGCGAATATAGGTCAGCATTGAAGAATGGCACTTTAAGTTAAAGATCCACAAGAGGTAGGAAAATATGGCGTTTGCTTCTAGAAGCGCTGAAGTGTTGAATTGTCGATCAGGCGCTTGTAACATTGAAGGTCGGGTTTGTAACACTGATAATCGCTGGCGTGAAATAACGTAGAAATTATCATTCTGAATATCCATATGTTGTATTGACTTTAAAGATGTCTTGCTGTAAGAGATAGCGCATGCAAACAGTACGATTTAAAATATTACGTGTTGCGATGATACAATGCGACTCACCGTATTCGGGCGTAGGCTTCACAGCATGGCCGTGAGACCTCGGGCTTCCGGCGACGCACACCAGTATCACTGCGCAGATGAATAACCGCAACATTCTGAAACAAAACGATGTTAGGTTGGTTTGGTTTCGGTAAGCTGGTTACGACGGGCAGCAATAAACACAGTAATCTTGCGGGGCAAACTGTAATCGAGAAAAGATAATATAATAGATGACAATCAGTATATAGGCGCGCGCACATTGGCAAGTGAAAGTTTTATTGCACGCTTGTGCTCGAGACGCTCTATGTCGGTGACGACTATAGTCAGGGGAGACTCGGTCTGCTACGCGCGCACAATTGTTGATATTACTGAAATACAGCTAAACTACAACAGTGAACTGTATAAACTAACGTGATAGTCTCCTCGCACGCTCACGGGATTACAAAATTTACTCTAGATAACTCTGATATGCAAATTGAGTCCATTTTTCGCGGCAACCGAATAGATTCGCGTTACTTTACAAATAACGATAAGGTAACAGGATCAATACTGTTCACACTAGCAGTATTCTAAGAAGGCGTGTGGTTGCGATGGACTAGCAGATAAGACAAGGATAGGTAGTTTTAGGGCAATAACTGTGCTTTCCTATAGTACAAGCATTATCATATGAATTACCCAGTCTAGAAGTACGACAATGTTAAACAAATAATCATGGTTATATTTTTTCAGCCGTCACATATAATTATATCACGTATCACAGTATCAACGTTCGTGATATAGTGCTTTTGTAAACTTTGTTAGACATTTTCTTTAGTATATTATTATTAGTTACAATTAGTTAGTAATTATTTTAATGTTAATCAGAAGGAAATTATATGTCCAAGAAATTATTATGAATCATACTATATATATATATACACATACATACAAATGTCATGTACTATATATGTATATATATATATATATATATATATATATACATATATAATACATGAAATTTCACTAACTTGTTCTACTTCTAGCACACTATCAATATCCATCCGTATCCATATATATCTAAACTACATATACCAGAATTATTATACTTTTATATAAACAAATCACATACCTACAGATACGTAACGACGCACATGATAGATACATATATGTTCAAGTGTTTGGCTTACCTGAAGGGCGGATGCCACGCGTATATATGTGCACACCAGTCGGGAGAGAGCGCCGGAGAGCGAATGTAGCCGCGGAGCCGGCGAGCGTCCGTATTTATACCTGCTGACCCACATAGCGATCGCGTGGATTACGTTCTGCGGGCCGAGAATTTTGGGCGTAGGTAACAGTGATGCATTGACGCCCGTTGCCCGCCCGATGCAACCGCCGGCAGACGAATATATGACAATGCGTTCCATTGAACACGCGCCGCGTCGCACGGCCACTTTCCCTACTTTCTCTCTCGTCCTTGACGTATAGTCACGCCGTGGCATCGAAGATGCTGTCATATTGATGATTGACACATCGCTATAACTAGCAAAAGAGGGAAAGCGAGAGAGAGGGAGAGAGGCTTTAAAAATAGAGAGATAGAGATGAGAGAGAGAGAGAGAGAGAGAGAGAGAGAGAGAGAAAAGGGAAGCGAGAAACAGAGGCGATGGAATGGGTAGGAGGCGGATAAGCGTCAGAAAATAAAGAAGAGTAACCAGGTAGACAGAGAATGAGGTATGTGATAGCAAATGAGAACACGACATAGGATATAGATATAGAATGCCATATTGAAAATTTATCTAACAATTTTACGTATTAATTGCGTTTTTTCTTAGGTCAGGATACATAATGTATTGTTACCCTAGCGTATCTTTACACAATCAATAACCCCATCCTTCGGATAACTCTAGCCGGATTCTCATTGCCGGTACATTATAGAATATCGCAATTATAATGTGATTAAATGGCGCACCACACGGATAGAAGACCAACGCGAATGTTCCGTGTTAAAATTTACCTGTGCCAATAGCGTCCAATCGACTAGTCCATGGCTACATAGCACAGTCGTCTGACGGTGCGTGTGAACATACCTGCGCGCTGGCGTGCATGTTTGCGCGCTTGCTTGTGCATGCGTGCACGTGTATGTCATACGTATTCGCATAGATTACTTACGACATTTCATTATCAGGGCGAGATCTACTTCATTTCCACGTTTTGCTACTAATAGTCATTAGTACGCAAAAAAAGAATGACGAAGGTGAAATATCTTTTGCCTAATCACGCCATATACGACATTGGGCATTATCATATCAATTCATGGGTAGGCAGTCAGGTATAGGTAGGTAGGTATAGGTAGTTAGGTAGTTAGGTAGTTAGGTAGTTAGGTAGGTAGGTAGGTAGGTAGATAGGTAGGTAGGTAGGTAGGTAAGTAGGTAGGTAGGTAGGTAGGTAGGTAATGTCGGTAAGTAGGTAGGCTGTGTAGGTAAGGTAGGTAGGTAGGTAGGTAGGTAGGTAGGTAGGTACGTGTAGGTAGGTAAGAGTAGGTAGGTAGGTAGGTAGGTAGGTAGGTGGTAGGTAGTAGTAGATAGTAATAAATAATAATAATATTATTGATTTATATTGGCGCCGTTACATGCAGATATGTTCATCGTGCGGCATTACAAGGCTATTATATAACAGCGACTGCAAACATGTAAAACTAGATGATAAAATTACGAACAACGCGTAGCAATTCCGTGATTATAAAATACGGACTGCGACATGTAAAATATAGATCCTAAAACGAACAATAAATAGCAGAATTTTAAGATAAAAATAGACTCAATCAAATGTAACATAAAATAGTAATGTCTATGTGTTTAATTGCAATGTTAATAGATGAGTTTTTGACTAGCGTTTTAAAAGATTCCCAGGCGACTTTTCAACATCGAATACCTGCAAGGTAGCTTATTCCATACTTTTGGGGGCAGGCTATGAAAAGAGCTCGTATCGGCCCAAGTGTAGCCCACGTTTTACAGCTGGTGGGCTCAATTAACATTTGGTTACCATGAGCGCAGACTGTACGCGATTAGTGTCTCTTTACTGTGACTAATTCTCTGATATACTGCTGGTGAATCATGTGTAATGCCTTAAAAGTGACTGAGTAGTAATTTTAAACTCTATACGGAATCACGACTGGCTAGCCATGCAAACTGATATAAACATGGTGATATATGATCAACTTGGATACAATTGATATAGCCGAGCAGCTGCATTTTGGACTCGCTGTAACTTCTTCGTTGTACCTGGGGCTAGCCATAAAGTAACTATTGAGCATCAACACGACTAGTAATGATGCGTGAATTGAATTTTATGTTGATTCCGTAAAAGAAACTGGTAGGTAGGTTGTAGGTAGGTGGTAGGTAGGTAGGTAGGTGGTAGTAGGTAGGTAGGTCGGGTAGGTAGTAGGTAGGTAGGCAGTAGTGGTAGGTAGTAGGTAAAGGTAGTAGTAGGTAGGTTAGGTAGGTAGGTAGTAGTCAAGGTTAGGTAGTAGTCAAGGTTAGGTAGTAGTCAAGGTTAGGTAGTAGGTAGGCTAGGTGGTCGGTAGGTAGGTAGGTAGGAGGTAGGTAGGTAGGTGGTAAGGTAGGTAGCGTAGGTCGGTAGCTAGGTAGGTAGGTAGGTAGGTAGGATAGGTAGGTAGGTCGGTAGGCAGGTAGGTAGGTAGGTAGGTAAATATGTAGGTGGTAGGTAGGTAGGTAGTGGTAGGTAGGTAGGTGGTAGTAGGTAGGTAGGTAGGTAGGTGCAGGCCGGCAGGCAGGCAGGTCAGGCAGGCAGGGCGGCCGGCAGGACAGGCAGGCAGGCAGGCAGGCAGGCAGGTAGGTAGGTAGGTAGGTAGGTAGGTAGGTAGGTAGGTAGGTAGGTAGGTAGGTAGGTAGGTAGGTAGGATGGATGGATGGATGGGTGAATAGATAGATAGATAAATGAATAGATACGCTCCATTCATGCTCATCACGTCTTTAATCGTTTCGTACCAATAGCACGATCCTGAGCAGCGTACTCTCTATTCGCCTTCATGTGTCTATGCTAATAATGATACAATCAGGAGTAGATAATAGAAGACTTCTATTATCTACTCCTGATACAATCAGAGATGAATAGAGCGATAATTACACGCGACAAAGAAAGCGCATAGCCTCGTGCCGATACGGAGACGATTCGCAGCGAAGGTCTGAGCAGCCTTCCGCAGCCAGCCTAACGCTGATCCGCAGCGAGGATGAGTTTTAAATGCAAACTATCCCCGCATAAAGGGTTGTATGTTCGGCGGCAATTAACTATACACGTGAGGGCCGCATTAACAGGTGACCGGCATATTACCAGCGATTGCCACCGGTATGGCGGGCGTGGTGCGGCTACTGCGGTCAGTCTGTTGTTATCAAAGAAGAGATTTTTTTGCAACTGCCATTCATAGGTCAAAACGTACGTTGTAGATGGTACTATGCGATGTGTGCGCGCGCGTACGTGCGTACGTATGTGTGGGTACGTTTGTATGTACGATTTTAGATTTGTCAGACCGCTAAACCCATAAACCCATTTACTTGAATGTTACTCTGAATCGCCGTTTCGGTACTTGCTGTAATTACCCAATTAATTTTGAATAAGCGACCATTGGTAATTATTGCCTATACCAAGCACGCAATTCGGCAAGAGCAAATTACATAATGACAATCTTAGCCAAATAATTCAGCATACAACGAGTTAATGATGAGCGCAGCAGAGACGCAAGCTATATGCTGATTACATCCGACGAAAATAAGGATAGGTGATAATACCTATTATTATGGACCTGTCCAATATAACAATGAGGTAACATCAACCTCTACATCGGCCCCAGACGGACGGTCGCAACGCAGACGAGCTAAGATGCCAGTTCCAGCGAGTTGAACCAGAACACGGGCAGAAAATTACCCGCCCCGCCAATTTGCTACACATTCTTCTAGAGCGTCTTCGTTTTTTCCATGTTTCTCGGTTACATGATAGCTATTATTTGCGCATGTGCATGCGATTGTCTGGAGGAGTAGATTGTGGTGAAAGAAATCTTAACGCATGATAGATTATTAAAGGGTAAGGTGAATGCTGGAGGGTAGGTGTTGTAGGAGGTAGCTGTATTTTCCAATTTGAGAAATGCGGAGGATTCTAACTATACATGTTATATTTTGAAGTGGTTTTACTTTATTATTACTATTATCTTTGAGGGAGATGGATTTTTCCACATTCTGAAAAAATCAGGCTTGCAAAAAAAGAGGAGGGCGTTCTGACCCCCAGACAACCCCTGTGACAGACAACGGTAAATGAAAAACATGCCTACTGATATACACATATACGCAGACACGTAAATAGATGGATGGTGGATGTATAAATAAATAAATTGTGTACAAAAATATCAATGAGCGTTAACGGAACATTTACGAATCCGAGCTGGCGCCGGAACTAACGTCACAGACCGGAACGAAGCCATTTCTACAGCCACTGCGGTGACAGTCGCGACACGGACAAACAGACCATGCGAGCGACTGCTTCGTGACTTATGTGCAAGTGCTTCGTGAATGTTCTCGCCCGGGCAATTCCGACTCGTTTGCAGTAAGCCAAATCCGATCATTCTTCCTAGTTGACATTAGTTGTTTGCAGTATTAGCAGATTTAGTTACGAACGAGCTCCGTCTATGTAGCCTGCAATATGTAATGAACGATATGTATACTGTAGATCACTGCCGGCAGTTATGCTGTCCGGTTCTTGATTCATTTAGGGTAGTTCTCGATGATAAGCTGCAGCGTATGTGAAATGATCAAATTTGAAAATAATTCAGTCAATAACATGTACATCCAAACGAGATCTTGCAGTCTACCAGAAAACTATGCCAGACAATCTGCGACGTACGCAATTAAGGACTATTCTTAGAACCTTGCGTGAGTCGATATTTACATAAGTCGAAAATCACAAAATGCATACGTAGTTCAGCACATGACCTGCGTACAGTACTGAACATAACATCAACACTACATCTTCGTAGTGAATGGCAACTTTATTATTATCAAGAGCTAAAAATACATAATGTATTATTAGTTCTTGTTATTATATATACAAAGTGGTTTATGTAGAAATGAGCAGTATTCGAAAAGCGAGTAAAAAGTAGTAGAATGTAGAAATGTGAGCTGTAAAAAGTAGATGGATAGTAACTAGTAGCTGATAAGTAGATTTAAGGTTAGAACTAAAATACGTAGTGATTAAATAACGTCTTCCCGTAGTTAAACTTTCATCTTAGCATGCAAGCGTGTGTGAGTGGTTCGTGGGCCCCTTCCATTAGCCACTGTGTATATTAAAGCACCCTCAAATAGTGTATATTTTATGTTTTTAAACATTGGTCCTCATACTGCAGTGGCGGATCTAGAGGGGGTTGGGGTGTTGTACCCTCCTGTTCAGCCACTAACTAATGTTATCAGGAGTAAATCATAATAGATTATAAATAGATTATTAATATAGATAATCTATTATCATTCACTTCTGAAGTTATGATACTAGTAAAATGGGGCCACCCTAGCACCACTTACCTTCGGCACGCCTTCATTCAAATACCCCTCCCCCGTTTCCTTTAAGCTAAATCCGGCTATGTACTGCATCAATTACATCATTCGTACTGTGTCATTAATCCTTTTTCACAAACGTTAAATTATACCAAAAGTGAATAAAAACATTGATTTTTTACTCCAGCTTGATTACGCGTCACTCGCGCGTTACGTACACGGACCGGCGACTGTCTGCAATTATACCGGTTATTGCAATTATACTGGTATTACGCTACGGTTATGGTTAGGGATATGATTAAGCTTAAACTTTGTTCAAAACATCGTTAGTGTGATAAGTCAAGTAGAGAGAAAATTTACGAACGCGTTGCGTGTAGGGACAGGATGAACGTAAACTGTCGTCGCAAGGTCACTTCCAAAAATAAACGATGTCAAATAATGCATAGTTGTGCAAATATGAATGCAAGATGACCTTAAATTGCCACCCCGACCATTATTAATGTAACATTATTGGGGGCAACTATAAAAGCTAGAGTAATATACATAACCTGTCTAATTATGAGTGCTTTTACGAACTCACGCGTCAACACACTGTTAAACAAATTATACATATTTATAACAATATAGTATTTATCTCTGGCACCTGCGCGGGCAAGGCCAAATGTAATTACGAAGTCTGTCTTAACGGATGGCGTATTCGGTTTGCATACAAATAGTTCTTCTCAGAAAATTATAATAAATCGATTTTATAACATTTTTCTAGGCCGTTCGTGTAGCAGGACACATACACTACCAGGATCCAAACTCCCGTCGCCGCAAAATTAGAGTAAGATTTAGAGCAACAGTTGACATGAATACCGACCGAGATGTAAACGGCCAGAGTGTCCGCTTGGAACCCGAATCAGACGCATCTAACGGGGCTCAGGTGCACCCTACTGCAACATCTTGTACTACTGTTTCACCTGACGATACCCACGAAATAACGCCCAGCCTTACAACCGTACTTAGTCCTACACCTTCACCCGTCTTGACAAAAGTGTCTCCGTTATCTCTCGCTCCCACACCTTGTATTACATCGTCCCCTGAGATTACGCACGGGTCTCTGATCTGTCCTGCGCTAACACTTAGTAGCGCCACACCTTCCCCTGACGTCACAAACGCGGCTGTGCGGTCTCCCACGTCTACTCTTACTACTACAGATTCCCCTGACGTCAGACAAGGGACTACGTTCAGTCTTACCCCTACACTTAGTTCTACTCCATCACCTGAGCTTATACAAGATCGTCAATTATCTACTACCCCTGATCTATGTACTACACCTTCCTCTAAGCGTAGACACAGGACTTCATCCTCCACTACTGCCTCACCCAGTACGGCATCTTCCTCTGATCTTGCACATAGGGTTACGTTGTCTAGTACCGACTCCCCGCCCAATGCTCTCGAATATACATCCCATTCTACTCTGACCCCTAGCACGAACTCATCTCCTGCGTCCAGCCCCGACACCTCATCGCATATCTTCACCTCGAGACCCGACACCACCTCACCCGCTACCACCGCCGAAGGAACCACTAGATCTGCACCCATCAACGTCGCAATTCCCGCTAATTTACCCAATCCCTTAGCCACCACAACAGCTGATTCTTGCGTGGTGACCACCACATCCTCTTCCTTGACTTCCCAGTCCAAACAAACCCTTCCAGAGTTAGCTCCCGTCACCACCTCCTCCTCGGCGCCCGTTCCGGGAGGCGCCTTCCGGTCAGCCATGTTGGGGGAAACTGAGAAGCGAGCGGAGCATGGCCGAGAGGCAGGCAGGAGACATGAGGAGAAGGTCGGCTCCGGTGCCGAGGCGCCAGCAGCGACTACTGAGAGTGAGTAGAGCGACCTGCCATTTATCGTTAGCGCGCGCGTAGATGCGTGTTACCATGTTATTTATTAGTGGCCCCATACAAATTCCGCCCCAATTTTGTCGCGTCGCGCCCTCGCGTTCGAGACGCATCGGTTAGTTTTAGTTAGGTTAATATAGGCAACCTTGTCATTCACCGTATCGCACGTAGCATAGGTTCGAGCGGTCTGACAAGGTGTAATGCGTTTCAACATTTTGGGTTTATGGTCCCAATCGAACAATCCACCCGTGAAATCGGTTAATTTTTTCGGCCGCGTTGGGTAGCCGCGGTATTATGGAGGAAACCATATCTGTGAGGTTTCCCTTGCTACTTACTGAAGTTGCACCTTTTTACTTACTGTTTGGATCTGCGGCTATTTCAACGATTTTTAAACGGCTATTAAAAACGTAGCTACTCTGTTAAACAACTAAGTATATACACTATGCGTCTTCTGCTATACATTCACTATTAAACATTATTTTATATTCCGTCGTTAACTGCTTTTACTATCGGCGCCCGTCTGTGTGCACATTGATTGTTACAAAACATATGATGCAGTAAATTAAGCTATTATATAAGCATATGCGTGGTGTCTGTGCTTGCTTATATATACAGCTCCTCATCTAAGCGAGGACCAGGCGAGAAGGCTGCGAAAGTACAACCAGCGTGCGAAGACGGCATTAACAAGTGTGAGTGCCCTCATGTATTACTGGAAGAGAGTGGGGTGATGGGAGAAAGGGTGGGAGACAAAGAAGGAGGGATGAAAGAGGGAAGAGGGAAGGAGGGTGGGAGGGAGAAAGAGAGGGAAGGGGAAAGAGATGGAGAGAAGGGAGAGGAGAGGAGTGCGTGATAGGACGAGAGAGAGGAGGGGAGAGAAGGGGAGAGCGAGATTGATAGATAGAGAGTGAGAGAGAGAGAGAGAGAGAGAGAGAGAGAGAGAGAGAGAGAGAGAGACTGGGAGAGTGCGAGCGACAGAGCGAGATAGAGAGAGCGAGCGAGAGAGTGAGTAGTAGCAGAAGAGAGAGTGAGTGGGAGCGAATGAGCGAGGAATAGCGAGCTAGCTAACGCGCGCGAGAGAAAGTGAGCGAGTGAGAGAGATGAGAGGAGAGAAGAAGAGAGAGTGAGCGGAGAGAGAGATTGAGAGGGAAGGCGGGGGAGAGGGTAGAGGGAGAGAGACAGAGAGAGAGAGGGAGAGAGGGAGAGAGGGAGAGAGGGAGAGAGGGAGAGAGGGAGAGAGGGGGAGATAGAGATAGAGAGAATTGGGAGAGCATGTTATTTGTAGCCGCTTATAGTCTAAACGTGGTTTATTGGCCTAGTGTTTTTTGCGAAGTTACCAGACTATAACAACCCATATATACTGATTAGGTATCATTATCATCTCTGCTCGAGGTTTTACGATCCCGTCTCATCCTTGCCAAGGTCAATTAAATGGCTCATGTATATTATTGTCACAATTATCATCACCCAGCCCGAAAGTGCATCCGGTGTAGATACATCTTTAGGTGCTTTAATCTCTGGTTTTCGCTCGTTTTTAGATGCAGCTGCACATTCTGGAGTTGATGTTCCAGCAGAATAAATACCCGACGGCCGACCAGCGCAGCGGCATCGCCAACATCGCTGACCTGACCCTGCAGAAAGTCACCGTACGTACGCGCGTATGCGTAGTACGCCCGCTACTTATTACGTTGCTACGATTTGACTTTGCGCAGATATAATCGTTATATATAATCGATGGCCAAAATAATAGTGTTTATTTTAAAGCAATTCCGCGCACGCATTTATATATTGTAAAAACTACACGAAAATGACGAAGATTTATATATTTTTACATATTATTACGTACAATACAATTACATATAGGCTTCAGTTTGATTACAAAGATATATGGTAATATCTCTGTTAGGTATATTAATTAGTACCTTTGTGATTGCACGTAGGCCCTACCTACTATATCACATTTACCGCGCTGGAATTTACTTTTTACAGTTGTGGTTCCAAAACAGCAGGCAGCGTCTGAGAAGAATCAAACTGAAGGGTGAAAAACGCAAGACGCGAAAGGTGAGTAAATATGTTTACATCGCAGCCTAAGATGGGCGCACCACGCCCCCCCCCCCCGTGATCAAGCACGATGTATCACTACTGCAGTTTGCAGGTGGCGTGCAAGGAGCCAGACGAGTCACCGAGCGAACCAGCGCCACCTGTCGGGCTGCAGGAGAAGACACTAGGATCGCAGACGCCCCGGCACATTCTACCGGGAACACCGGCGCCACCTGGACAGCAGGGAATGACCGAGCAACCTCCCGCGACGCAAGCTGGTGACGTGAGTCCCCTGAGATACCTGCTGGAGCCGCTACCGATTATCAGCTACCCCGAGGACGCCCTCCTGGCGACGTGCGAACCGCCGCCTTGCGTCTTACCGGTGCCGGCGCTGCTGCCGCGTATGCCGATCTATCTACACGTCGATAACTACTGTGTGACGCCGGTGCCCTGCGTGCGACCGAGCAGCGGTAGCAACGCCACCGCTCACGCTCGCACACGCGCAACCGGCCGCACAGTACAGGGCGGCTGGCCGACGCAATGGCCCGTGAGCGGTAACCATGGATACGGTCCGCAGCAGGCCGCCGTGCCGCCGGCGTGGACGTGGCAGGGTGGCGAACATGGCCGCTCGTCGGACCGTGGCGTCGACGAGAACAACAACGACGACGACGCCGACGTTACGTGTCATGGGATCAGCGTCTTTGGCGACGGCTTTTATCCCTACACGACGCCCTTGCCTTCAATCGCCGGCGATCCACAGCTAGGACTGCAGGCGCGTCGCCACGGCAACGACGTGCCTCAGACAGCGACGACGAGGGTGACTCACGAGAAATTACTCGCTGTTACCGACGCCAGCGAAGAATCCGCCCTGTATAGTGAGACACGTATAGAAGCTCAAGGTCTTGGCCATGGCATGACAGTTTCTAGCGTGTTTGGCGACACCGGCAGTGATACGTATCTGCCACCCGATGCGTGTGAAGGCACTGTCGTGAGTGCGACAGAGCACGATGTCGCCAGATCGTTATCTGTACAATACGGGGACACTGACACGGCCGATCAAGATCATTTTTATGTCAGCGCTAAAAGACCCAGCCAGGGCGCGGAGAACAGCCATGAGTCGTCGCAGTTAACATGCATGGACGACTATACCGCCTCCCCGAGTAACGATCCAGCGGTGGCAGCACCTCCCACGTGGATCACATATGGATCAGCGAACGCCTCCAAAAGCATGTGCGTTCCGTCTGAGACGCGTGATCTTTACGCCGGCGGTCAGCGTTGCCGTAGCAAAGTTGGGTTAGATGAACCCCTAGACATGCATTTCGAACAGAGGAGTGCGACGGACGCTTGTATGAACTATAATTCTTCGTCTGCAGAGGCAGACCATGGCGCCATCTGGCAGGATCAAAACGCTAGTATTGTCGTGAACCATTACGGCAGGCAACCGCACAGTTTTAATTACGGTGGAGATAGTGAATCAGTGCCTCAGTCGGGGCTTCAGCCATTAACAAATTCGCCCGATAAAGGTGGCGAAGACGTCGCCTATCATGATAGCAACACACAGACATACGTCTGCAACGATCCTGTGAACGTCTACCCGAATGCAGATGATCAAGGTGAAACAGGTTACAATTGTTTAGCTTGTTTAACTAGTAATAGCTTTTATCTACTAATATAGTTATTTTTGCTTATCATTGCTAACGTTTTGCATAGCAATATTTATTATACATGACTTTTTCATCTCTACTTGAATGCAGTCGCAAGCACCATGGACATGGCAACAAATATAAGCAGAGTTCAGAGAAGGGGGTCAATCCGCATGCATGTGCACACGAGTTACTTGTCTTTGGTTATGTTGCAGCCAGTACAGGAAGCTGCATCGCCGCAATGCAATGCGCTCACCATGCACTCTGGCCGAACCAATTCCACCAGCAGCCGTCACAGCTCAACACAGCCGCTGGAGAACATGCGTCCACAACAAGGTGGAACCTTCCACAAACTGGGTACTTGACTAGGAACCATTCGACGCCGACCGACTACGTGCCTAGACATTATTACGAGCAGCCATGGTTGTCAACTGGGTACCACAGAGAACAGACCGACGCGACAGTTATGTACCCCCCAGAAGCGACGAACCCATTAGTTAGGCACCAGCCAGAATGGACTGGCTCTATTGTTGGGTACGGAACAGAACAGCTTTTCCCCGCTCCTGTATACAATCAAACTCACCAGCCTAACTCACAATATGGGTACTTCACAGAACAACCAGACATAGCTGGGGACCATACAAACGAGAGTCAGTTACAATTTGCGCCTCATCCGGAACAGGGTGAATTACTATTAGAGTCTCACCCAAAACAGAATGGTTCACCATTAGGGAGCCACCGAGAACAGCCTGGTTTATTATCAGAGTACCATAAAGAGCAGACCGCCTCACCATTGGGGTACTATCCAGAACAGATTGTTACACAACCAGGGTACCTCCAAGAACAGACATATGTACTACCAGGATATCACCAAGATCAGCTTAACACACCATCAGGGCATCACCAAGAACAAAGTGCCACACCATCAGGGTATCCCCAAGATCAGCCTGCGACACTATTAGGGTATCACCAAAAGCAGCCTGCCACACCATCAGGGTATCACCAAGAGCAGCCTGCCACACCATCAGGGTATCACCAAGAACAGCCTGCCACACCATCAGGGTATCACCAAGAACAGCCTGCCACACCATCAGGGTATCACCAAGAACAACCTGCCACACCATCAGGGTATCACCAAGAACAGCCTGCCACACCATCAGGGTATCATGATCACCAAGAACAGCCTGCCACGCCAACACGGTATCGCCAAGAGCAGCCTGCCACACCATCAGGGTATTCACCCAGAGCACAGCGCTGCCACACCATCAGGGTATCATGATCACCAAGAACAGCCTGCCACACCATCAGGGTATCACCAAGAACAACCTGCCACACCATCAGGGTATCACCAAGAACAGCCTGCCACACCATCAGGGTATCACAAGAACGCCTGCCACACCATCAGGTGTATCACCAAGAACAGCCTGCCACACCATCAGGGTATCACCAGAACAACTGCCCACCATCAGGTATCACCAAGAACAACCTGCCACACCATCAGGGTATCACCGAAGAAGCAGCCTGCCACACCATCAGGGTATCATGATCACCAAGAACAGCCTACCACACCATCAGGTTATCACCAAGATCAACCTGACACACCATCAGGGTATCACCAAGAACAAAGTGCCTCACCATCTGGGTATCACCAAGAACAGCCTGCCACACCATCAGGATATCACCAAGAACAACCTGACACACCATCAGGGTATCACCAAGAACAGACTGCAATACACATCAAGGGTATCGCCCAAGAACAGCCTGCCACACCATCAGGGTATCACCAAGAGCAGCCTGCCACACCATCAGGGTATCACCAAGAACAGCCTGCCACACCATCAGGGTATCACCAAGAACAGCCTGCCACACCATCAGGGTATCACCAAGAACTACATGACACACCATTAGGGTATCACCAAGAACAGACTAATACATCATTAGGGTACCAGAAAGAAGAGGCTGACTCACTACTAGGGTATGACCAAGAACAGTCTGCCACACGATCAGGCGACCAACCAAAACATAATGATTCCCCATCAGGGTACCAACCAGCATATAATGGGTCACCGCCAGAGTACAACCGAGAACAGGATGACCTATACTTGGGTTATCAAAAAGAACAGATTGATTCACCAACAGAATATCACCCTGAAGAGACTAACACACCATCGGCGTACCAGCAAGATGAGCTTCATTCACCAACAGGTAATCACACAAAACAGCCTGCCTTGCTTCCAAGTCAAAAAGAACAAACAGGCTACCAAAATGCACAGACTGCTACAATATTAGGGTGCCGCCAGACAGAGACTGAAACGCCACCAGTGTGCAACCCACAAGAGCCTGATTCAATCGTTGGGAGCCATGGCCCTACAAGAGACAAATATGGCATAACGTCTAAATGAGACGTAGAATGCGATGGACGCGGCGGATCTGGGATTTATTCCTGTGCTATTCCTAGTGAGGGGTCCCCTGATAGGACTGGGGCCCATTGTCAGCGAAATATTCACTGAAAAAAAATTAACACTATTAGTTAGCTGGCTACTCGCTGAGCTAATTGCTAATGAAGACAAAAGGTCGCAGGAAGGTGAACGATTGATCAGACGAGAGAATGAGTCTCATGTAGCAGCAGCGGCTTACCGAAAGTAATAACATAGCTCACTTTTATACTAAATATTTAGTTACGAGATTGTTTTCATATGGTTAACAAAGACTAATGTCGATAATTTGTGTGTATATCAACGTACCATGACGACGTCTAGATTCGAAGAAGGATGTTCAGAGCTAACTTTGTTGTTGTCACCAGTGCAATCTATTATTATTTTATGTTGTAATTTCAGTTGAATTGATTTTATAGAAAATTGTTATGAAAAAGTATTGAAAACCGCATTTTTGTTTGGTTGTGAGTCTCAGGAAGTATAGTCAGTAAGAATAGGAAAGTTTCTTCTATTCAAACAATCATAACCCTATACGCGCAGAATATTTTTACCGTGGCATAGTGCGTATATATAGCGGTTGCCATAATCTTAAAATTACTTACAAATGCGTTTGCCTTGTTTCGTAAACATATTGCGCCTGTATATGTACTTTGACTTTTGGTCTTATTAATATTTTCATAAAACTCAACACTTCTTCAACTATTCACTTCTTCATATATGTTAGAACACATCTTGATTGTATTATATCTACTGACGGGAGAGTAGACGGAATGAAACCGGCTACAGATGTTTCATGAAGTCACACATGCTGCCACTGCAAGCATATACCTTATTGACATCGAATCAACAAAGAAGGAACGTACTCGAAGAAAGACATTAGGCTTTCGGTTGGTGATGCGGACAGCTAGGGGACATATAGTTTTACGGACATACGACAGTGTGAGTCACATCAAACTGTTTCAGTTAATGACCTGAACTATAAGTCTTCTGTTTTAACAATATTTATTGCAACGTTGTTATTTGACAGTATGCACAACATACACAATTACGTGATATCTTCTATAATTTTCGTACAATCTTCTCTCTGAAAAACAACCGTGATCCTTGTTTAATTAAGAAACAACAGAGTAAAACAGCTCCACAACGAGAAAAAAGCTTGGTACATGATTCCAATATTGTGATATGCCAATATTAAATAAATCAGTGAGAGATAAATACATTCAAGCACAAAACGTAATGTGAGAAACTGATTCTCTATAATAAGTGGACAGCGTTTGTAAAGCAATATGTATGTAGGCCCATACCTGTGCTTGCAGTTATTTACAAGCAGAATATATATACCCCGATTCATATCACAGTGTTAGAACACAGTCAAGGACAAGCTACATTCTTTAAAGTACAACACCACCCTCATTTGTACATACACTACGTGCTTCTAATCACCGTCTTTTTCTTCCTGTCTATTCCACTTCGAACATTGAAACGTCAAAAATGCTAAAAGATGGTTCTATTAATGCATGTATATTTTGGCAGTGATCGAGACGATCGGAAATTCTACAGATCAGCATAGCTCCCCGCCATGAGAATACTATAACCAGTATACCCCTAAGAAAACTGCACCCTCACCTCCTATAACCAGTTGAATTGGCAGTAGATCAACACTTAACTGACATTTAAAAGATGACACCACACACAACTGGTGAGCTTCATTTCAGTTTTTCACTCTGTCATCGCTGGTAAACAGTAGCAGCCGCACTGAAACTTATTAATTAAATTTGGTCGGAAAAACATGGAATGTTAAAAGTTTGCTGCAACACAGACAGAGCTATAGGTTGTACAAACCAAAACTAGCATACTGTGTATATAACATGTCATGTGCACAACTAATATATTATGTAGCAATGACAACAAAGAAGCCAAGCAGCCCAATAACGGTGCAATATTCGCCCTCTTACTACTTTACGTTTAGCTGCATATATTGCATATATTCGACATCTATATACGAGAGAATGCTGACATATATTTAGAGAGTCTCCACGTGTGGAGGTACACATATACCATTTTCATTTATAATAAAAGGGACTTTCAGTGCATCCTTAATAAGCCGTGTATGCAAGATCTTGACGTTGAAATTTAAATATTCCCATTCTTAACGGGGAACATTAACACCTTTGAGCGCATGAAGGAAAGATTTGGCAGACCGTCCAATATGGCACTAGCCTCTGGGCTGAGATTGGATCGCTCAGATTTTCTCGTGTTGGCAGTAAGTGTGGGAGTACTACCTGCAAGAAGCTGTTGCAGGGGTTGACCAGCCAACATGCCAGTGCTGCCCTCTTTTAGCATTTGATCTTCTAGACCTATAACTATGCCTATAACACAGAGAAAAAGTCGTAATCGGACACTCTCCTTGTGATTGACTAATAATAATCGAGACTACTAAAACCTATGCTATATCATTAAATCTTTACAACTTTTTAAGATTCTGAAATACTACAGACTTTTGGAAGAATAAACATATTAGTTTAGGAGATACACAAACAAGTGCCACTGATTTCTTGAAACGAAAATGAAGATAAAAAGTTTTACTGTCACAAAAGCACATCTTACCTTTCTTACTGCCCGAGGATGAGGAAAACTCTGCTTCTCTTGCAAAGAAGCTGAGATCAAGGAGGTTAGAATCGACAGTGCTGGAGAGAGGATTGGTGAGTCCACTCGAACCCCAGTCAAACTCCACTGCTGGGATACACTCCTGTCACGAATGTGTAACAATAGAGGAATAATTATAATCACCACGGGCTACAAACTACTGACTAGGCACCTACCAACAACCCTGCTGTTTACGGTTGCCTATAGGCAACCGAACTTCATCACTCACACAGAGTAACCTAACAGAAAAATTGAGAACTTTGGGGGTTTATGCATTTCAAATTGCGTTGGGGTTGATCATCCCAAAGTGTGTGTTGGTTCCTTATAGTAATTCAGTGAAAGTCGGCAACCCGCACATGGGTCGAAATCCCAAGGGGCCCGCATGCGCTAGCCCGATGCCCGTATTTTAAGGCTTGGGCCTGAGATTTCTAATGCTAGCAAGCCCGGCGGCCTGTAGAAAATCCAACCCCAGCATGCAAACAGGGATAACATGTTACCACCGTATCATTCACTAGTAGTCACTAACTATGTTCTTTGTATTACTGTAAATAAACCATTGTAAAAATGTCAAATTTCAGTCTTTTATTTTTTTTAAATGCTGCGGTATCCGGGGAATGATGCGGGCCTGTCATTTGCCTGGCAGGCTTGTAAAATCCCTTACCTACAGGCCCGGCTGGCCTGTAAGTTTTCAAACCAATTTCTACCCCTGCCGCACCATAGTAGCAACATGCTGTACCTGGGCAGAGGGTTTCGTGACCGGTGGAGGCTCACATCGTGGATCAGAAGGCTTCATAGGTTCCAGCAAGCCGATGCCTGTCGCAAATAATGGCACAAGAGGCTTCTTCGGTATCTAGAAATACAGTCGACAATCTCATCGTCAATCATATATGAGGCAAGATTTGCACACAAATATAATGTAAATATAACCTGTAAAGTTTCTTTGTTATGTACTCCTGATATCAATATACAAAGATGCTTTACATTACTTACAATATTCCTGGTATCAATTCTAAGAGATTTCAACAAGTTCCTGTTGTTGCCAGATTCCAGCCACTGGTAAGAAAGGGCAGCTGTGCCATCAGTCTTCTGCACCTGACTCCAGATGGCAGCACTAAGCAAAAGTATAGTTTCTGACATTATTTCTAGTTTTAAATGAAAACCATTACAGTTTACACATAATTAACAGAGCTCGTTACCACAGCTTTACTAAAGTTACATATGCTATTGTGGTCATTAATTTTATTCAAGGACATGAAAACTATGATAAAGCAGTGTGCTTGTCAACAGTGTCTGTGGCTATCTATCAATACTGCAGTCATTAAGATACTAAATCTCATTTATCTAGTACGACTCCATACCCAGGCAGATCACTTGCTGGCTTATCTGTTGCATCACAAACAACACATTGCTGAAGTCTCAGAGGTTCAAGGTCAGCTTCTGGGATATCAAGGTCATTAGCCACTAGGAAAAGTCCCTCGATTACCTTTTCAAGGTGCTGTTGTAAATCCTGTAGTGGCATAACACAACAAAGAGTTAAATTACATAAAGATAGACAAATAAATATGCTAAAAAATCATGCAATTTACCAATAGATTAGGAGTTAAATTCGTTATAAAACCTCCATAAAATCCCTAGAGATAAGCATACAAGGATCATAAAAGTAAACAATATCAAGGAAATTTTTTTTTATTAAGGGGTCCTTGTTTAGAAACAGGTCAGGTTTTTATAAATGGGCAGAGAGATCTCAGAAAAAAATACATAGTAAATATTGCATTATTAGTGATTTTAATTTAATTGATACGACATATATATCAAAGATTAATGTCGGGACATAAAATTAGTTTTATTACCTATGACTTTGGAGTTCAACAATTCAGCACAAATCATAACATACCTATAATAATTTTACAATGAATTTTATTAGGGCAAATACGAAAGCCACACACCCTCGCATGTTTGCTAGAAATTAGTGTACTAGTACTATCAAGAGTAAGATAATGTAGGTCCTGGTACTATTACAGACTTTCTATGTACACCTGCAATAAACACCACCTTTTGATGCACCCAGCATCATCTTACCTCACCAATGGTAACCTCTGCAACTTTAAGAGTTGATTCCACTGAAGCCACTACATCATCTATGGTAACAACAGGTGCAGAGCTTTCTTGAAATTCTGCAAAATCATCATCGTCGTCGTCACGGTAACAACCAAGAGGCTCTGTCGAGATCACCGCCTCACTCGCTCCACCTGGTATTGTCTCAGTCTCACCTTGAGACGTCAAATCCCTGAGAATCCCATGCGTCGTCTCGGGATTACAAGGAGTTCCTATTTCGGAGTCATGTTTAGCTGTTGTCTCAGGGTCCGATTGAGCTGTCGTCACAAAGTCACACTGACCTGCCGACTCAATTGATGGCACACCCCCAAAAGCAGAGAAATCGGCAAAGTCACCGTTGTCAACAACGGCATCAGGTTGCCAATCCGCTGCATCAGATGTTGTGGGCTTTGGAAGAGAACCGTTCTTTCCAAAAGCAGCAAAGTCGCCATAGTCATCACCGTTGCTGTCGTCATAGCAACCTTCACACTGCGAGTCGGCAACACTACTCTGCAAGGTCGGCTGGTCAAAGTCACCCCCTGGCTGCTCGGTGGTGACCTCTGCTGTGCGCTCTGTTAGCGCTGAAGCATAGACACTACCGACTTCTGTTGGCTCAATGGTTACAGCTTCTGCTGCATCCTGTAAGGCACTATTGTCGACGAAACACGAGGCATCTGGTAATGAGAGGCTGAAATCGGGCTCTTCGGCCACAGCAGCTTGAGATGACTGTGGCCCGTCACCACCTTCCTCCCCCAACGTACTGGTCTGACGTTCATAATCCGGCACGGTCGCCTGAATTTCATCACCAACGTTGGCAACACTGGCACCACCACCTGCGTCTGTGTCGTGTGGAGCGCTCGCTACCCAGTCCGCAAAGTCATCGTCACCGGTATCCTCTGCAAACTGGATCTTCGTGGCATCTGGGGGTAGTTGTGTTGTGGCACCAGGGATTGATGTGGATGGATGACCCGGCATTCGCACGGGGGAGTCTGGTGCTCCGGTGAACGCTTCAAAGTCATCATCATCCTCCCAGCTATGCTGTGTACAACTGTCCAAGGGAGGCGGACTTGACGGAAGTACTGGAATGATGTTGGACATCGCTGTGCAGCCTACTCCTACACCATCATATGGCTTTGTCAAACTTTTGCTGAGATCTGGACTTGTTGTTGCCACCAGATGGCAATGTGACTCCTTGACCTTATAACGTGGGCAAACAAGATATAAACGTTAAACGTCAATTGCTTTCTTGCAATCACTCCCTATAACAATATTATGATTATGTACTCTAGCTGGACAACACAATGATGGGACTTCTTTTGCAGCTGACTGCACATGCACAATCAACTACGAATCTGCGGCTGGTACTAATAGTAATAATAATAGTACTAGTAGACGCACCGCCACACTGGCTCTTCTGATTTAATAAATGACAGGAAACAAATGCGAATTACACGCACACTAGTTATATCTGGTGTGACTGTACAGTGGAATGCGTAAAACAGTTTATTTACTCCTGATTATATTATAATTATTATTGTCAAGTCAAGTGACAGTGGCTAGTAGATTGAAGTACCGAATTATAACTTTCATTGGAATTCTGTGTCACTTACACATGATGGCCAAAGGATATAATTGAGTCATTAACTGATTATCAGATTAAGAGTAAGACTAAGAGCTGCCCACATTTCAATCATTTTCACATTTTGTCATTTGCACATGTCGCACACTGCGAAAATGAATTGTGGTCAGCGCCTATATACATGGGCATGAACCCACATTATCACGTGAGTATAGCTGCAAAACAATCAAACAGTACCGCTAATCTACTAGTGGACAGTGGTCTGATGACACTGTGACTACTAGTACTACTACTAGACTAGGTCCAGGAAGCTAGTATAAACATAGCCACAAGTTTCCTTCTCGCTTAACACTACGTTGGCGTCCTACACATCCTACGACGTGTAACAGTCGGAGAGCCTGGTCGGTTTAGTATAAACACTGAAACTGTTACCTTTACCTAAGTCTAAGATACAATAATGTAACCCAAACCCAAAACCAAACCCAACCCTATCCTGGGGTTGGGTTACATTATTGTATCTACCTTTAGGCTTTACCTAGGGTTTACCGAGCGGTTGGTAGTGAAAGCGGATAGCTTTCATAATAGACCGCGATACACACTATGAGTGCATTAATGATTAAGTTAACAGTAATTGTAATCAATTCTATGGTTATAATATATCCATACAAAGCAATATGGCAACAATGATAATTCTTATGGTAACTTAGAATGATGATCACTCAGCAGCACCTCAACCTTTTCCGTTTCAAGTTAGATTCCAGCGCCACCCTGCGTCGGTATTAGTAAATACTGGTGTAACAATATTAACCCAACAAATCGCTCTCTGTTCTCTCAGCCCTTCGCCCGCCACAGGTGGAAATGCGCTAGCTGCTATGCTAATTAATTCAAAAACATGGAGAATATATTTCCTATAAGTCATTCCCATGTGATTATTCTGATCATGACTTTATTGCCACAATCTGTGACATAAAAACAAAGCATGACACCCAAAGTGATGGATTATGACAAGAGATATAAAAAACATCACAGCAAATTTAACACTTCATAACAGACCTAAAAAAATGGATTGGCAAGGGATCTACAAAACTACAGATATCAACAATCAAGTGGCTACTGTCTAGACATATGTAACGCCCCTATACGGGTACAGGGGGCTAAAATGGTAAAAGATGGGAAGAACACAATTACTTGGTTGTGAAAATGG